CTTAGCCCTATCACCATGTCACTTGAGTTAATGGAGTCAAGCCACTAACAAAGTTGCTCAATCTGTTCAAACCACCCCATCCGTCCGCAATTCGTGCCTTCACCATTTTACCGCTGCATTTAGCAGTCCTTCAGCTGCAATCGCTTGACGTGAACTACCAAAAGCAATCGCTTTGTAACGCCGTGTGTTACTTTTCTTTGAACAGTATCTTATCGAAAGGTCCAAACAGCATCATCGCTAAAAATATATCGTTCCTTCCGGCAGACCAAAATATGGTCATGGTTCTTCAGCCTACTCTGAGTGCTGCACAAGGTTATTTATGACGTTACTTGAAAGCTGGACTGAGGGAGAGGACGGCGGCCGCACTAAAGATGTGGTATTGTTTCAAATCAAGAGCTTATGGTGCCGTTCCACATTTAAGACACTCACCAAATTCGAGGTCTTATAGAAAACTATTAGCGCATCATTTAAGTTAGGTAAAGCAGTTCAAGTGCGACTCCGCATTGTTCGGTACTAGGGCCGTTGCTTCTAGTACGTTGAGTTATTGACTTACGCCTAAAGCCCGCGGTACAATTGCGACTGTTGGCTGCTGCCATTAAGCTCTGGAGTATTGTGGATAAAGCTGGGGCTTCTGTGTCAATTCATCGTGCCTTAAATAGGCACTGGAATTTGTAAGCCAAATGGATGTTGCCCAATCACCAGATACTATGGTCCGATTGAGTATCGAGGCGTTTGGCCTGTTCACAGGGTACCTTAGTAGAAGTGCAATCAGGTAAACGCTTTGCATGTCCGTATAGGTGTCGTTCACGCTTCGACAAAACATTCTGACAAGGAGTAAAGTAAGGTTGCTTGCGAGGGGTACTGCATGATGAATAAATAAATAACATTTTCTTCTTGGCTTTGTGAGGCAGGCCTGCATAGGCATGAGCATGACAAGAGTGTAACAGTTGATCGAGGAATGTAAACTGGGATTGCTATGGTTGGCGGCATCCGGTTTCGGATTTGTCTGTCACTGAGGCCAACCACCGGACTCCTGAGCCTACAGAGGGACCAGGGGTGACCTGCGCTGCACCACCCACAGCTCCATCCACACACCCCATATCCAGTGTAAACCCGAAGGATTAAGACCGGGAGGCATGTTGATGGAAGGCACGTTTCATCAACGGAGCCGGCCCACACTCCTTCACAGGCAAACACAAGCACGCTGTATTCGGGAAACAGGCGCACACAAAGCCGTGGCTGGACCGTAGTACGCTCCACACTGAGTGCATGGAACCGCTCGTTGAGTCTAGTATGGCCAAAACGGCTGTGCACCCCGTTCCGTCCAGCAACGGCCAACTGCCTCCCGGAGCCAGTATGAATGTGGTAGTTGGTAATAGACAGGTAGGTACCTTGTCAACATGCACATCAAGCGCAGCCACACCGGGGATATCAAGCAACAGTCATTCACTTCAACCGACAAGATAAAATAAAGTAAATCCATTAATGCAAAAAGGTACGGTTGCATAACTCTTCGCTGAAGAACCATATGAAGTAAGTTGGTTAGCTACGAATCCGCGATAGGTAAGAAATGTCTACAAGTTACTTACTAATGCTACAAACGCAACAAAGTTAACGAGTATTAGCGCAGTTTGCTTAAGCAACGTGGCCAATTAATAGAAGATTAGTCAGGTATGCATAACAAACCAAATAAGGTAGGATTTAATTTATGCAGCTTAAAATGACCTAGTTTAAGTGTAAGTTGGTTCAGCCCAACTGCGGTGAAGAAGCATCAAGAATGCAACATCAGCCTCAGCATGGGATTGCCGTAGGTGCGTAACATATATTGCTACATGAATTTATTTAGGTGTGTGTATGCGTGGGTAGATGTGTTGCTTGGCTTTCTAAATGGTTTGCTGCTTTGCTAGTGTTTGAAGATGCCGTCCAAGATAAATGGATGTCTGAGATCGTGGATTTGCGAAGGTTGTACGGAGGGGCAATATGTTTCTCGTGTACATTGCCTTAACCTCACGAAGGAATTTGAAATGATGTTATTTGGTGGAGCTTTGTGGCTTTTATTGAGAAGTTGCTTGCCAAGCTAAACCCCGCCACTTCCTGGAACACTGCCGCCAAACTCTTTGCTGGAACGTGGTAAACCCTAATAACTCAGCTGCCACCACAGGAAGATCGTTCGGCTAACCTTCGGAGTGCCTTCGGAGCTATAACCGCGGCTGTGTTAGCTATTATCCGCTTTTGAGAGATCCCAATTGGAATAAGTTTTCCGGGAAGTTCACCACGTCTTGCACTTCACAGAATATTCTGGATGGCTGTGTGAATATGTATTAGTAATGGAGACAGGCGTATCCCGATCGTTTGCTTACTGCGAATTCGCTGGCTTCACTTTTGAAGGATCGTGGGGAATTGATTTTCAACTAACTAGTGTGAGCAGTCCAAAATAACTCACGCTATTAGGTGCCGCTAAATTACAGTCTATGCGATCACTTTTTGAATCAGTACAAAAGCTCGTTCGTCGCTCTGAGTTTCTAAACGTTAGGAATCGCCTTCGGAGCAAGTCGTTAAGGAATCTACGGTTGCTAGTTTCGAGCGACAGTTAGATCACTTGAGGGACGACAACAGACCTTCACCTTTTCGTAAGCCACTGTTAGCTTTCACCTACTCGTCTTGTTTCCAGGTTCTGCCATACTTGGTAGTATCGTTATATACTTGGCGCTTCTCATCTTGCCTTCTTAGCCTAAAATGCATTCCTTATCACTTCACATAAACGGCACGGTATGAACTGCTGGTAAAGCACATGGACAGTAAATATATGGCCAGGGTGTGATGCGGTTTTGTTTTAGATTTTTCGAACTCTCATTCTACCTTAACGATTCCTGGTTCAATGGTGCACAGAAGGGACATTCACGAGATGAACGTATTTTCGTCCCAACGGAACTTGGACCTGTATGAGTGTATTAGTATAAATTTAATGGTTTTCGTTTTCCTTTAAAATCGGCCGTAAGCAACTCTCTATTCAACTGCATTTGTTCCGGCCAATTACCGACCGATAACTCTCCTATCTACGATCTCCAAAGTGATGGAATGGATCGTCGCAGACGCTTTAATGGACTACATGGAGGCCCAGAAACTGTTCTCTGATTGCCAGCACAGTTTCCGGCGTCAACGGTCTTGCCTGAGTAACCTGTTACTTGCCAGGGACAGCTGGACGACTTCAGCCGACTCCGGCCAAGAAACGTATGTTATCTTCCTGGATTTCGCCAAAGCCTTCGACAAGGTCGACCACAAGATTCTGCTGAAACTGTCATCTTACGGCGTTTCAGGGTACTTGATGGACTGGATCCGGAACTACCTCCAAAACCGTACCTTCCAAGTACGCGTCGACGGAGCGTTGTCTCCCTGCATCCTTGCCACAGGCGGAGTTCCACAGGGGTCTGTTCTCGGATCGCAGCTCTTCCTAGCCTTCATTGACGACGTCACACCGCAAGTGGAGTCTTCGCTGCTACTATACGCGGATGACGCGAAGCTGTGGCGCAAAATTAACCTTCCGGACGATGCCCACGCACTTCAGACGGACCTGGACCGTCTACATAAGTGGTCCACAGAAAAAAACCTTCCATTTAACGCTTCGAAATGTCGCGTCCTTTCTACCCGCCCTTCCGCTATTTCTTCTACATACTACCTGGGAGCGTCTATCCTCCAGATCACTTCAGCCGAAAGAGACTTGGGTATCATTACCCAGACGAGTCTTTCCGTATCCGCTTCCTGCCGGAAAGCAGCTGCTTCTGCTAGCCGCATGGTGGGATTGCTGAAACGAGCCTTCGGTCAAATTGACCCCAGCAATTTCCGCCTCCTTCTTGACGCTTTTCTTCGATCCCACTTGGAGTTTGCTATTCAGGCTTGGAGCCCTTGGTTGTTGAAGGACCAACGCATACTCGAAGCCCCACAAAGTCGAGCAACCACAAGGGTCCGAGGTCTCAAGCAACTAGATTATCCACGACGACTTCAGCGCCTGGGCCTTTACTCGCTTAAATACCGACGTCTACGGAGCGACCTGATCCTCGTATTCATGATCTTATCCAACCCTGGACATCCCTGTCGCCACCTATTCACACTGCACCAATCGGGCTAACACCTACGTGGCCACCCACTGAGGTTCACACATCAGCACAGTCAACTGAACTGCAGACGACACTACTTCGCTTTGCGAACCTGTCGACCGTGGAATGCTCTGCCTGCCGATTTAGTCTTCGCACACACTGTGGCGGACTGTAAGACCCGCTTGGACTGTCGACTGGCCCAACTACACCGCGATTTTCCCTAATTTAACTACATTTTACTGGATGGAATTCCTTTCTTTTTTTCCTTCTACTTACTTCCTTTCCAAAACCGTTTCGGAGGGCGTGGTGGGTTGTCTCGCTTTGAGCCGGCGTGCATTCTGTTTAAAGGCCACATAAGCCCGATGAAGATACGGCTAACACGCGAGTCCAACCCACTCTAAGGTTGCTTGGCCTTTCATTAGACCCGAACCGAACTCTTTACCCTGTGGGTCATGTAAAGCTCGAGCTTTTATTCCCATTAACTACAATGTTCTAATGTTCCCCTACGCGAATGCATTTGTGTTACATCCTTTTAAAATCCTGATCATGCAGGAAAGGGTTTGTCTCATGGAAGCAAGATTGTATTGCCAATATTCTTGTTATTATTACTATTTGGTTGATATACTGTCATAGCTATACCAAATTGGGTAAATTGTACGAAAGGTGTCTGAAGGTATACATGCAAAATGCGACAGCAAAGCTCGATTATCGTTTCACTTATGCTCTATGTACAAAGTAACGAAGGAAAATTGCCAATCGCAGGCGACAAAGTACACTAATTTTTATTAAGTGCACTTCTGTTAAGTTATCACTGCTGGTGTAATTTCGGATGCGCTTTGTTTGTTTTTTCGTTGAGCTCACTATGGCGACTGCCTGGTACCGGTAGCCATTTTCTCTAGCTTCGCTATGTCATCCGAAAGTTCCACCCACCAGTTGGTGGGGTTTGTTACTAAGATGTTTCCAACTTTTGGATACATAAACAATGAAATTTTCTTCCAGAGAAAGTATGTCGAATGTCATGCTCTTATTTCTAGATGCGTCATCGGCCCCATGGTGGAGGTCGGCGATCATGTCGCAACCAGTGCGGTTTACCAACCAAATATGCCCATCAAGTGGAGTGCTGAGAAAGTTTGGCGGGTCCAGGGAGATACGCGCACGCGGACAAAAGATAACGAGGAAAAGAAACACTGGCATGAAAGGTCACCTAGGCGCAAATCGCCGTCAGATAAGAGGGAACACCTTGCCTCTCGGGACCGAGACGTGAGACCTTTTCGGGAAAGTGAAGCCGTTGTACGTCCTGAACGAAAACGAAGAGAGCCATCAGTCGGCAAGAGGTACGTACACGACAGTGATCTCTCACTTCTTAGGTCAACTTCTAGAAGCAGACCAGATGAAAAGGTGGAACAGAAACGCCGCCGTGTGTCACCTACCACGTCTGTTTCCAATCGAAGCACTCGAGGACCGGAGGAAGTTGTCCCAAAACGTCATGGCGATAAATACCTGTTAAACACTAAGGATCTCATTGTTCCAGACATTCACACTCGCTACTCCAGCCTACTCGCTCCGGTCGATCTTTATCGTGTGGTCTGCCACTGGCAAGATTCGTTTCCTTTACTCCGACCGTTCCAGTGCAGCCGATCGGTGGTTTTCCAGGTTTGTTTAAATTGTTTCAGTGTAATGACTGTAATGTTTCATTCACCCAAACTATTTCTCTCACCAAATGACATGTAACGTTCGCGGTGTGTTGGGTAGTGAAAACAACCTGTAAACCACCAGCGTACTGCAAAGCGTTGGCGTAACCTTGTGTATCGTATTGTACTAACCGTCAGCCCGGCATATGTTTGCAGTTTATTTTTGCTTCGTATTCACCTCGTTCCCATTGCACATGGCCTGAAGGCTGCTTTTCTTCTGCACCTTGGATTAATCTGGATCGATTGACTGATTAGTCAAGGTAGCCGAGGGCACTTACATACTTTCGCCAGTTTTTGATTTATTCCGTTTGACAAGTTTGGTTTCCACCTTCAATTTGATTGCCGTTAACATCGATGTTATGGCACCGTACATTTGGGCAACTACGTACGTCCTCTACATCTTGGTGTGCTGCTCCGTTGCTCAACTGCTCGAAATTACTTGCCGCTACCGCTGATGAGTGCAGCTACGCAAAACTGACAGTATAATGTTAGGCAAGTTTTGTGAAAAAGCGCAGATAGGCAGCAGCAGTGCACTGTGCCAATGCTTCGCGCACACGCGACCGTCACGATCTACGTGTGGGCTGAGGATACTGGAATGTTTCCCTCACTAACGCATATTAATACCGGCGATCTAACTCGGACGGCTTTTCTCGCTCTATTTGACAAGCCAAGGTACATCGTTCATTACTTTGTGCAGAGCCGATTTTTCATGCTTATTTCCGACACATTCAGTTTCTTTGGCGACTGCATTTGTTTATCATGTATTAGTTTGGTGTCCTTACATTTTACTCTGGTCTTTTTATTTTTTTACTTTGTCGCATTTACCCCATCTTTTAAACCATCAGTGATGACGAAGCTGACTCCCTGTGGCACTTGTTGCAAACTAGTTGGGCATGGAGCCATTGGGGTTACATGCTTGTGTGGTGTGAATTTCCACATTTCGTGTATTGCCTTGTCTTTGGATCCTTCTAAACTACTGCGTACCATTCCGCATGACATGATCTTCTGTAAGCAATGCCATGCCACTACGCAGTTACAAACAACCGAGAAGCCACGCGGGCCTACAACCCGGGCGAAACATTCCATAGAGGGGTGGTTCCGTGGGTCTATCCAAGCAAGCGGAAACCCAACCACCTCGATGTGTGAACGATCCCACCGGCTGCAGGCTCTCTAGAACAATGTCCACCCGTTTCTGGAGACTCAGCTGGCGTCCTACGGACACTCAAATGCCGATGTGCGACGGCGCAGGCGTTGAATGCCAATAAAGGGTGCAGCGAAGCCAAAGGAAGACAACTACCAACAATCTGCGAGGTTGTAACCTCATGATATTTCACGCGCCTGAGTCGACAGATGCTAGTCTTCAGGCTCGTTATTAACACGGCGAGGTTTTTCTGCAGTGCCTGCTTGATACGTTTCTCGACGTGAATGAACAGTGGAAAGGGAATCCTGGCCTCTGCGAGCCAAGATTTTTTAATGCAACTAGTCCGAAGCTGGTACTATCCTGCCTCGGTAGGCTAAGGGGTCTAAAGATCCATATTCTTCCCGATTTGGATCCATCGGACAAAGAGAAACTGAATTCTGCTATCGTGAAGTTGCAACGGTTGACTGATACTAATGAAACCAATCCACATGTTGTGAATTTTCGCGTAGTTTCGGTGGTCCGCCGAACCCGGGTCAACATATCGGTGACTTCATGCGCATCGGTCGGTTCCTACCGCGGCCTGCGCGTAGCTACCACAAATGTTAGCAGTTTACTGAACAAACGTGACGATGTATTCACTTCAATCCCTCAAGTCGTCCGGACGTACTAGGACTGCCCGAAACCTGAGGTCATTACCCAGTAAGTCCAGATCACTGCTGGTGCTTCCGGTGCGACAGACCATCGAGGCGGTGTGTTATACAATCAGTTCTCCTACGGGAGACTGGTACACACCTACTGTAGCGAAGATGACTTGTGCGAACAATTATGATGGTCCATCTGCCTGGGACGGTTAACTGATAGTGGGTGCAGTTTATCGCAACCCGCGAAGCCGATGTCTGGATTGGCTGTCGCATGCCAGCAACTACATAATTCGAACCAGCTTCTTATGAGTTATTTTAACTTCCCTCAAGTACAGTGGCCTGAGGTTCAGCTTCTCCCCGGGCGCTGTGAAGTCGAGGCACAGCTTGCAGAGTTGCTATTTGAAACTGGTTCAGCACAACATGTCTAACAACCGACACGCGTTACACCGCATTTCGTCCATTGTGTCAGGGCTGCTACTAACGAGTTGCGAGCAACGCGTACGTAACTTTCAGGTTCTGGAACTTCTGGCTGCTAGTCCGAACTCGATGGTGTTAGCCAGCCCAGATTCGCCGCTGCCCTACCCGCGTCTTCCGGAGCCATTTTACAACTATTTCAAGGGAAATCGACTGGTCGCTGCATCAAGATTCCTCTTTTGAAGCCTGTTGGTCTGTTATAAAAGAAGTGCGATCGTTTCCTACCACTTAAGTATCAGAAAGCTGGGCAGTGAAGCCACATTGGTTCGATAGAGAGTATAATCAATTGGCTCAACGACGACGCGTATTGTGCGATAAATTCCCGGGATGAGGGAAGCGAGTATTGGTTATGTAAAACTGATTAAGGTCGGCGAAGTCGAGCAAGCTGTCTCCATTATCGTAGCGCTCTCCAAGAGTATGTGACAGGTCTGTTCGTTCCTCTGCCCGGTTCGTGCATTCCACTTCCCCGCACTTATGAGGATGTCGCATTTCGTAGCATGATTCACCGCCGTTTTTTGAGTATCGTAAAATTCACATATCCTTTTCCCCATGCGTGTGGACAGATTATGATCATATTCATCGAATCTTCGAAACGAGTAACTGCCATTCCAGCTAGTAGTGACTTCTACGGAAAAAGGGGGTTGTGCCTGGCAACTAAGTGCCGTGGGGATCCAACTATTGTCAGCATTATCTTCCGGCCCACTGTGCTAGGGATAGTATGTCTACACCAGGGAGCCATAGCCAGTATTCGAGATTCTAACAGGCATGCTATCAAGCTGGTTGTCATGTAGTGTGCGCATGGTCAACACTCGACTGCCAACATCCAATAGGGTTCTGACATTCCAACATCCAATGAATAACGGCTCCCGGGGTTGAGGGACCTAACTAGCTTGTCAATCATGTCACTGGGTCAGCGCAGAGCCTTTCGTCTACCGGGGACGCCGTGGCATTAGAAAGATCACGGATAACGGACATGTCATGGAGTTTAGTGGGGCTTCTGGGTACTTATGAAAACCACAATCTCATGTCTTTTGTTGGACGATTCGCCTCTGGTCTTTGCACAGCCAAATACTGCGTGCAAGTCAGCAAGCATCTAGGAAATTGTATTAACTTTTGGGCGTTAGATCATATGTCAATCTTTTCCACCCAGATGTCAAGACTTTGCACGTGGTTACGAACTCCTAAAATAGTGTTCCCGGCTACCCACACCTGGTTTAGCCCGTCTGTCTGTCCGTTAACCGCAGTGTAGCCGCTGCCTCGTGAAAGCAGCTTTTTGGAGCCACAGGTGACAGCTGAGTGCCAGACCAAAGATAGGTGATTGCCTCGGACGGTAAAGCTGGTGCCTTACCAAGGTGCTACTCCTTGGCGCCCCGGACGCCCAACCCGCGTCCTCGGATTACAAGGCAGCTTTGTGATCATTAAGACTACAGACTATAGTCCTCTATCATGTGTCTTTGTATTTTGGCACAGCAGTTACAGTAACGATGGTGAACAATGGGTACCCAGCCGGGCAGTCAGAATACGCAAACTGACGTCATTTTCGAAGTAAGGCTCTTCATCCCTCTTGACCAATCTATCGTTTGGCCTTTTTCTTCCATCCAGATGCCGGGCGCGCAGGCTTAGTAGTCGGTGTGCTGGCATGCGCGCCACACACTAGTTAACCCTAGGCCATTGGGTCCAATAACCAATTGTATTTATTGGCCCATTCACACGCTGTCTAAAATAGAATTTTTACCCAAAATTCAACTGCAGAGACTTTACATCCGTATCCTATGCTTGCTTCGGCTCCCTTTTCGTGTTTTTCATACGTGGACTCTGCTATCACCTATTCAAATGTGGGTCGTTCTTGATCTTTTCATTATCAAGACTTCCTTTAATGCAGTTCACTTCAGTCAAACGACTGATCCGGGCTCCAATGTGCAGTGAATGCAGTTGCCAGGGTTCGCGTCGCCAGATTTCTGAAAGAACAGCGATAAGAGAACGAAGTTAACGGCGAAGGGAACAAACGAAATAGAATCGAGAAAATGCGTTGAACTGGTCCAAGTGGAATGGAATCGGAAACTAAATGCCATAACGTCACTGCGCTGCCGCGCTGTCTGATAGTGTCCAACCTTCCCGGGGCTACCATCCTCAATAATAGAAAGTATTAGCTTGACCAGCTCTCTATCAGTTTCTTCATGCATTTATTCCACGTCATCATTTGGCCACTTCGCGGTTTCGCCATGCGGCGTATGATGGACTCCTAGGAAGTCGGTCAGTTGGGTATACAAAAGACAACCTAGCCAACGTTAGCGATTACGACTTAACAAAAATCAACTGACAGACCTCAACATTGCGCACCCAATTTTCACACCAGATGTGAGCCTTACCCTGCAAGCACCAGTGGCCAAACACGGCCGACGTTTAATATCTTCACTGCGAATTAGCCAGGCCTCTAATCCATACAGTATGATCGGTCTTACCGCAACCTTATACACCGTACCTTCCAATGACGGGCTGACATCCCACCGTCTGCATAGGAGCTTGAGTCTGAAAAGCAACACAGACCTTGGTGATATGCGAAGTAACTTTCTCAGTGATGTGACTACCAAAGGTGACAGGTACCACGGTAACTGAACCGATCCACCACTTCCATTGGCAGTTTGGTGATCGCTAGATCTGCAGCAGTATTGTAATAATGTGTCAGCTACACGCCGTAACGGCGCT